GATGGAAATGAAGCTCTTGGCAGAGTCAATATATCTGAACCATTCCATCTCGAGCGTATCAAGGCCGAATATTTTACCATCACTAGAGGGACCTTGAAAGAATTCCGTATCCCTCCTGGGATAAACCATTTATGCTACATAATCCTCGGTAGAGCCAGTCTGGAGGTTGATCAACAGAGCGGAAATGTTGTGAAGGATGATTGTTTCTCGTTTGCAGCTTCTGAAGTAAAGAGAACCTATACTCTGAATGCCCCAGAGAACGGAGATGATCTACGCTTAATCTTTGTAGAAGATATAGAGGCCCGAAGTTATAATAGAAAGGTAAATTTATAAAGAAGGGATGTCATGAACTAACGAAAGTCGCAAATAGAAAGAGTGCAAACGAGGAATCCCCACTATAGTCTCTGCGGTCACTTCCTCCAAATGGTACAACAAAGGTATCAATCAAAACAAGTTTGCAAGATTAGCCCTCCTTACCGACATGGGTCTTGAATTGGAGACCATTCCATGGAGTTTAAACCTCAAACGTATACCACCCGGAACTCAATCTTCGAATAACCACGCACATAGTGAGGATGACGAATTTGCTATCGTTCTCTCGGGAAAGGCACGTTATTGGTACCACGGGATAGTTCCTGAGCCGATCCTCCAGGCCGGTGATTGTGTTGGGTGGAAGGCTGGGACTGGTATATGTCACTGCTTATTCAACGACGCAGAGGATTTCGATGGATCTGGTGAGTATTCTAAACCCTCTTGGATGCAATTATATGAACAAGGATAGGGGAGGACCTCGTGTTTCTTGATTGGGGCGAAAACAAACGGGATATAGATAAATTCTACTTTGGCCATGCAAATCCGCCTTATTGGAGGGATGATCTCAAATGGCTTGATCACCCCGAGCTCCCTCTTGGTCCCGCCTCTCCTTTCCCTCGCTTTCCAAGGCCCGATGACAGGGTAGCCGAATGACTAGAAATGATTACAAAGCTTATTTATGTTTAATATTGAAATATTATTACCGTCATATATCATTATAATGTTGACATACAATGAAACACGTTGGTCCGCCTTGCTCTCTGGTCATGTGACGAAAAGGGAAGAGAGTTTGCTTACAAATTGCGTGCTTCTGCCGATGTCGGTGCCCGAACGTACCACATGGGAGCATGTTGGGGTCTATTTGATTCGCCCAGCCGGTCTTCTCGTC